AACCCTTCTCCATTGTTGGTGGGAGTGCAGACTGGTGCGACCACTGTGGAAATCAGTATGGAGATACCTCAGAGAACTAGGGCTGGAGGTCCCATTTGACCCAGCTATTCCCCTGCTGGGAATCTTCCCCAAAGAATTAAAAGAATCATGCCACAGTGACATACATGCACCCATGTTTATAGCTGCACAGTTTGTAATAGCTAAAGCTTGGAAACAGCCCAAGTGCCCATCAACTGGAGACTGGATAAAGAAGATGTGTTTTTTTTATAAAATGGAGTACTACTCAGCCATAAAGAACGAGAAACTAGAGACATTTATAGCTAAATGGATGAATATTGAGGCCATCCTCTTAGGTGAAATAAATAGGACACACATGTGTAAATACCCAATAGTTTCTCTAGTGTGGGAAACTGAAAGTGTAAATAAGGATTAAAATGATTAAAATGAGTAATTGATAATTTGAAATAGGAAAAGGTCCAAAAGTGTAGGGTCGTGGGAGTGGAAGGGGAAAGGAAAGAAGGGAAAGGAAAAATTATGAGAAAAGAAAAAAAAATGAAAACGAAATCTTTGTAAATAGGGAAGGGTGGTGGGGTGAAAGGCACACAGGCAATGGGGAAGAAATAAGAACCGAGATACATCATGTACAGGTACAGCCACCCAGTGATAAATGTAAACGTATCGTGTACCTAAAATGTACCGATAAAAGAATTTTTTAAAAAATTCAATAAAGAAAAAAGAAAAAAAAATTTCCCTGAAAGCACAAACTTTATTTCTCTAAAAAATAATTTAAACTAACATCATCATACTGGCTTGTACTCTCTGAACCCAGCAACAGCGGCCTACGCTCACAGGTGTGGTCTGCTCGGCTCCCTCCCCATTTCACACACACTGTTCTGTTTGGACTACAGTAACAGAAGAGCATGATTTGTAATAGGTATTACAATATACAGTGTACTACGTAACATTATGCTAGGCGTATTTTTGTATGTTTGTATTTTTGTATGTATCATATCATATTATATATATGTACTGTATAATAAATTTAGTGTAATATATATGTAATAAAAATTGTAAGTGCAGCTTTTGAAGTAAATGTCACAGTGCATTTAGTGCCTGCATTGGTCACTCCGTTGTGCAGAGTGATGTGCACACCTGCAGTGCCAGCAGGAGGACAGCCTGAGCCCAGGAATTCGAGACCTGCCTGGGCAACAGTGAGACCCGGTCTCCCAGACAGATTGGACTGATCAGAAAGCTGGCCTTTCTGAGGAGCCTGGAGTCCTCTCGTGATGAGAGGCAGTCAGGGCCACCCTCCGGGGCACAGCCTCCTGTCGTGTGCTCGGTGGAGGTCAGACATGGCTGTGGGGGTTGCCAGGGCTGTGCAGTGCACAGACGTGGCCAGACCCCAATTCCAATCTCACACGAGCACTGCAGTGGGCAGGGCCCTGGGCCACAACGCGCCACACGGCTGGGGTGCAGCTCTAGACAGCAGAGGCCCTTGGAGGCCCCATTGCAGAAGCAGGGTGCAGAGATGTGACAGAACATCACTCTGCTCAGAGACAGACAACTGAGGGGGGGTGGGGACACGGGGAGGGGATGGAAAAACCGAGGTGCCTGGCCACAGCCTGGCCTGGCCCCGCCCCACAGAGGGCACTAAGGCGTGGAAACTACGCACCTGGGCAGAGTTGGGGGGCCGGCTATTGATCCTCCAGAGCAGTTTGCTTCCAGGAATGACCTGCACCGTCTCCTGAGCCACAGGTATGTCATCAGCCACGTCAACGGCCACGTCACTGTCAGCTTTTTCTGGGCCGTCATCCTGAAACACAGGTACTTTGGTACTACTGCCTTAGTACAGCTGCCAGCGGGAACCGTGAGACCTGTCCCCAAGACCCTCTGCAGAGCGAGAGCCTTTTTTTCTTAACCAAGAAGAAAATCAAATTTCTTCCCCAAGTGGTAATGTCAACCATCCTCCAATCTGTGCAAAAGGACTCGGCTCAGCTGTCTGCAGGGCACACTGCACTGGGCTTTTCCTAATCCCAGAGAGTAGGAAAGACAGACAGGTGGGCGTGGCTGCAGGCACCCTAGGATCTCCTCTGAGAGCCAGACCGCCTGGAGGACACCTTCTCACCACCTGCCCAACTCAGCATGCAAGTGCTGCAGACTGAGGGCTTCCCCAGGCGCTGCCGCCAGGTGGCTTGCTTTCTAGACTAAGCCCAACTGTCCAACAGCTTCCCCTGTCTCCAGGGTCAGAGGCCCGGGTGAAGAAGAGCACGGTAAACGGGTGCAGCTGAGGAAGGAGAACACCTGGGACTCAGCTCAGAGCTCAGAGTCCCGGTCCTGACGGCAGCAGGGCCCCTGACGGCAGCAGGGCCCCTGACACGGACAGCTCAGGGTAAGTAACATGGGAAGCACTGATTTCTAAGTTACCCAAAGGGACAGCGGAGCTGGTAAAAGCATTATGTGACACCACTATATGGTGAGAACGTTTCAAATATGAGTAGTCTTTAAACGGAATTTTCCTTTAAAGAAAAAACAAGAATTATTAGAAAAGATGTCTTAACTGCACACATGAAATATAATGTAAGAACACAAGACTCCTGGGCCGGGGATGTAGCTCAGTGGTGCCATGCCTGCCTGCCAGGTACAAGGTCCTGAGTTCGATTCCCAGTACCAAAAAAACCAAAAAACACAAGACTCCTGGAGGAGCCTGAACCTTTTAAACAAATATTGAACACCTTGAGTTTGGTACATTCCGACTGATTATCTAGAAAATACGACATGTCTTTTGAATTATCGCTTTTAGTTTTAAGCTTAAGAATGACTAGTCTTAAAATCATCAGTTTTCCAAAGCTCAGGGGAAAAATCCGTGCCAGTTTTCCTGACTGTTGAATATATTACCTGGTACTCAGAACTGAAAAGGCAGAAATGGAAATTGCCTGACTTTTTAAATAGATCTAGGCTGTCTCAGGTAAAGGAAGGAGATTTATTAAGAAGGACCCAGAACCTAGAGTTTCCAGAAAAGAAACGGGCTCACTTCAGGCTCCCTGGGACAATTCCAGCCTGGGAGAACAGGAGGAAGGCGAGGTTTCTGAGCAGCCAGGACACGACCTGAACACAGAAGGCCCCACCACCAACACCAGGGCCCGGACAGACACGTGGTTGCATCTTAATGGACAAACTGCACACGCTTGGCTCTCACTGCTGCCCAAGGAGCAAGCAGAAGGCAGGGCTGACCCCAGAGTGGTCAGCAGGCAGCTGTGGCCCTCAGCTCTGCCAGGGGTGCCTGGAGCAGGGACTCACCAGCCGGGCCTTCCTCAGGTGGTCGCCTCTCTTCTCCTGCTTCTTAAAGGACTCATAGGACGCAGGGTCTGTGCCCCACAAGCACTCCGTCCACTTGCCATAGATTATGAAGAGCTTCTTTTTGCTATAGCAAAGGGGGTGAAAACCCAGTCAAGAGCAACCGCAAGCCATTCCTCTGATCATAGCCCTTACGTGGCCCAGAACGCACTCCTCCTAGGCACACCTGTATTTTGGGACATCACTGGACAGAAGTGCAAGGAGGGAAATGTGCGTCTTAGGGCTTCATGCCACTTGAGATCAACCATTCCCAACTCTGATACACCAAAGAAGAGAAAAAAATGAAGGTGAAGGCCTAACAAGGGGCAACCACAGGGAGCAGGAGACAAGAAGGGTTATCTATTTTTCTAAATCTAAATTTGTATGTATCAATCTGGTTCTCTTTCTTTTGTGGTGCTAGGGATGAAACCGAGGGCCTTACCCATTCTCAGCGAGTGCTCACCACTGACCTACGGGCCTATTATTGCTTCTTAAACTAGATTTTCAAGTGCAGAGTGTCCTTCAGACCTTTTTCTGTCAGTCACATCCACAACCTTTCCCATGCTGAGGGGATAGCATATGACTCCTCTTGGGCATAGAACCATCTGCCTGATTCCAAAAGAACAGAAGTCACTGAAGAGCTGGGCCCTCTTCCCCTTCTTCCCTCTGTCCGGGAAGAGCACATACTGGCCACACGCTCCCGTGAAGTGCTGCTCTGACAGGCTCGTGCCACTGGGAGAGCACGTGGCCCACAGAGCCAGAACGCTGGGACCCCGGCCGCACAGCCTGGGCTCGTCAGCAGGAATGGTATGGTGGGCAACTCTCCACCTCTGAGGAAAGGGCAGGCTCAGATTTACAAAGGTTTGGTATTCTCAGCTCCATGAGCATCAGCCTCCATCCCCACGGCTCAGGTGACTCTAGGGGGAGGAGACGCCCACCATGCTGGTGACTACTACACTTCACTGCGATCCTTAGAGGCTGCACATGGGTCCTGAGGTGTTTCCTAGGAGAAGTGGCCAGACTGATGGCACTTTACAGACAATGAGAACAGCTAAGTTTCTGGTGCCCAAGAGACAGTGGGTGAGGCAATTTAAAGTGTTTTAAATTGGAAAATAGATCTTAAGAGCTGGAAGGAATCTTTTGACATTACATGGCCCAAATTCCTTACTGAAAAAAAACCCCAGAAACTTGAGGCCCAAAAGATAAAGTAGTTAAGGCAGAGCAGGGGAAAAAATCTAAACAATCTGTTAAGATACTGCTGACTGTTTCTCTGCCCACATAAACTTATAGAAATCTCTGGTTCGCACATTGGAATGAACCAGTGAGGTGTATGTGTAGTGGAGGCCAGTGGAGTGAAGGAAATGGACGGTTAAAGTTCTTAAAGCTCAGCTGTCTAAACTGTGGCATCCTCTCTCAGTAAGAAGGCCCAACGTCTTAGGGTGACCTGGCCTTCCTCCCTCCAGAGGACGGGCTGTACTCACCCATGCCCTGACTCTGTACCCAAGACCTCTCCCTAGTGCCTCTTCCTAAGCAAAAGGAGCCGTTCCCGGCAGGAACAGACATCCCTGTGTAGCACCGTCCGGTGTGCACACCTACTTTCTGTCTTGGATGTGCCCTTCGACCCTGTGAAGCTCCTTTCCAAACAGACCGCACGGTTTGAAGTTAAGCACACACTTATCACCGGTTCTGTGGGAAAAACAGACAGGCTTCGTTTATAATGTGGAATGCTTGGAGAAGGCCAAGCTACAGAGGGAAAAAGGGGACTAAGTAGGCCGGGGCATGAGGTGGCCGTGGATGACAGCCAGCCTCACAAGAGGTGACAGAAATGCTCAGAAAGTGGCCTGGGGATGCTTGCACACATTTGTGAATACACTAACGTTAATCGCCGAGGTGCCCACTCAAAGTGGGCGAGCTTACGAGTGCTAAATGACCCCTTCCTCACCATCTTAAAGACAAAGCCAGCAAGTCATGAGCTCCCAGGCGCCACACTGTAATGGACACTGTAATGGTGGGGATGCTCACTGCTGCCACCAGTGATGACACCACTCACTAGCTAACGTGGTTCACAATCTCAAGTAAGGTAGCTGCTGTGACTAAAACCACACTCAACATGGGCCACTCGAGATGACCTTGACACTGGCCAAAGCCAAATCCCACCGGCCACCGCCAGCAGGGGCCCCCACTGCCTGGAGCCCTTGGGCTGAGGGATGGGGAGGAAAGGCAGGGGCGTGGAGGAGGGGCACGGACAGTGAGCCAGCCGAGGCTCACCCTCCCTAGCTTAGCCTGCCAGGCATGCCAGTTCGGTTACCTGTGGTTTAAAATCTCCACCACTCCATACTGTTCTATCCACAGCTTCCCAATGATGACGTTGTGCACACAGCAGGTGGGGTTGGTCCAGGTGTAGGCTTCATTGTGTCTGTGAAAAGGCCAGAAACAAGCAAGTGAGGGCTGACAAGGCACAGATAATGTGTGACCCAGAGCACCATGACCAGAAAGAACTGGACCACAACTGCTGGGAGCCTGCTGAGGGGTGAATGCTGCTTTGAAGTCCCTCCGTGCAGGCTACTTAGCATGCGTTTGAAATTTATTTCTTCTTTCCTTTGTAGCATCAACAAAGCTTTCTACTTAAATGTCAAGACAAGTTAATAAGCAATAAAAGAATACTGAGACAAAGGGAAATGGCTTTCCTGTGAAGTTGTCAGAAGAAAAGCCACTTCATTGCGCAGAATGCAGTAATGCCCAGTCCCAAGGCAGGTCCCTGGCTTTGTGGGGAGGCCACTGCCTGGAGGGGACACTGGGAGAGGGTTACTTTGTCAACAATGCTCTGCACACCTTTTTCTTTACTCCGCATCCTCCACATGGCCCTGCCCTAGGGGAAGCCCCACAAACCTGAGACACAACAGATGGCCAGTCCTATATCTCAAGACCACATTCAGGAGCTGAGGGCAAAAACCAGCTCAGAACAGGCATTTCAGGACATACATTTGGAATCCCCAAACACACTAGTCAAAAAGGTTGGCAGCTTGGCACAGTAGTGCACCAATAACACCAGCTACTTGAGAGGCTGAGGCAGGAAGACTGAATTCAAGGCCAGCCTATGCAACTTAGTGAGACCTCGTTTCAAAATACAGTAAAAATTTTTGAAAGAGCTGGGGACATCCCCAGCTTAGTGGTAAAGCGCCCCTGGGTTCAATCTCCACTAACAACAATGACAACAACAAAAACAGTTTACAACTTTTCAATTCTGCGTGCCTCAACCCCTCCTGTGGCTTCTGTCCTGGCTGCTCTCTCCTCAGGGACCCTCTGTACCCTCACCTGGGAGGACAATGCCCTGCTTGCTCTGAGCAGCCCTGGGGAGGCTTCGAGGCCAGGAGTGAAGCAGCTCAGAAGCAGGCTCCTGGAGAGTCCCACTCAATGCTGCCTGGAGGGTGCTATGGCTCTCAGAAACCCCATGGCTTGGGGCTGCTAGGTCTGAGGCTGTTATGCAGCCAGGGATCATGAATACGGTAGTGACTCAAGCACATCAGTGGGGGGCGGCACACAAACCTCACCAGTCCTGAGGAGAGGACATTTCCCAACCCAGGAGATCCTGACCAGCAATCCTACAGAAGCGTGATGGCGGGAAGGCTGCCTGCCCCACACAGAAGGCCAGCATTCCCCAGAAGGAAGTCAGTGTGGAAGGCAGGCCCTGGCCTCGGCTCACCGGCTGGTCTGCAAGCACCACTCACTTGAGCAGCTCCAAGGTGATGGTCCCTCGGGGCTCCGCCTCAACGCTCTTGCCCCAGAACTTCAGCTTCGGGTAGATGGAGCCATGGAACACAAAGTCTTGGTTGAGACCTTCTGAATAAAATGCACTAATAGGAGGGTGGTGACTGACCTGTTCAGAAATAAATCTGAATCCTAAATCTTCCCTAGATCCAAAAAATAAGAGAAAGGAAAGGGAGGGAAAGAAAAAAGAGAAGTACTCACATTAGTGACAACAAAACACAAGGGAGGGAGGCTGCTCTCTGGTCAGGCTAGAGGGAGCTCCCCAGCCGAGGCCAGCGGGCTCTCTCAGCCTCCTCCAAGAGTCCCTAGGCCATGCCGTGTGCCTCCCTGACAACACACTTGGCCTAAGGCCACACACTGCCACGGGAGCACACCTACCCAACTCACAGCACCAGCTGCAGTGTAAAAGGCCGCCTGCACTGCCGCTCACACCCAGGATACCTCAGGCTGTGGGCACTGGGCAGAGCTTCCTCACACGTGAGTGACCCTGGTCCCAAGTGCTCACTTCAACCCTCCAGGGACTGTGCTGCTAACAAACTCGGAGTTCTACTCTGAGGCCTCAGAAGGGGTGCTCCTGTCCACCCTTTCATAATGCTCCTGAACTTCTGGGATGGAACATCTTAGACCTCAAAATATTCCTGGCTAGAAAACAGGACTTTTAGCAAACTTTCTTATTCAATAAAAATGTCAGTTTTTAATTGTTCCGGAACTGTGAATACACCTACAGTTGTAGTCATTAAAAATTATAAAAGCTAAACCACATAATTACTAACTTAGCTGGAATCAGAATTCCCAATCATTACAGAGGAAGGAAAGATGAAAAATTAGGTTTTAAAAGGTTGCCTACCAAGGTATGTAATTTACAAAATGAATACTTGTCTAAGAAAAGAAAGTTTATTTTTAGTCACACAAGGGGGATGTGAAGGGATGGAAGATGCGGGCTGACTGGGACAGGTCTATGCAGCTGTGGCCCTGCCGGGACGGCCCGGTCCCACAGGCGCTCGGAGCGGCCGATGAGGGCAAGTGAGGCCCAGAGGAACATGTGACAAGCCTACTGTGCGGGATCTGGAAAGAGCCTGCTTTTCCTTCCAGTCCGTGAAACTTTAGTTCAACCCCTGAGTTAAGTTCCTGACAAGGACTCTCAATTCATTGTGTGCCACATTTGATTCAGCATCTCGGGCTGTCTGTATTCTTTTCATCCATATGGTTTCTTTTCTACCCTCCAGAACTTCTTCCCTGGGGTGGCTTACTTATCCTTTTCAAGATATTTCAATAATTTTCTGACAGCTAGACACACTCAGCGCAGGTGACCGAGAGGCTCACAGGCTGCTAGCACTGGCTGGTGCGGCTCAGGAGCTGTCTATGTGAATTCAAAACAAAAGATGTCCTTAAGCCTAGCATGCTCAAGCCCAAAGTTCAGTCCCTAGCACCGCAAAAAAAAAGAAAAAAGAAAGAAGAAAAGAGGTCCTTCAGAGGAGCCCTTGGGGTCTTTGGCTCCAGTCCCTCCTGCTGGTACACAACCCGGCCCAGGTGCCAGCCCTTCCTGTCACCACAATGTGCTCTCCTGACCAGCCCAGCTTTGTCAGAGGCAATGGCGCTGGGAGAGCAGGTGCTCAGCCACTCACTGCCAGCCAACATCTGAGTCAAACTAAAAGCTCCAGATGGTTCCCACTCTGGCAGGGCATGGGGAAGGGCTGGCACCTGAACCAGGAAGGAATGAAGGACCGGCTGCTTCTGTTTGTATTACCCGGTGGTGGAGGAGGACAGGGCCTGACCCGGGCAGGCTGCTGCACACACGGTCCCACTCCCCGGGGCCTCAGCCGGCCAACCCCAGACCAGAGAATGGACATCAAGCTTCGTGGCCTGCCCTGCTCGTCGGTGGGCATTCTCGTCCCAATCCCAGCCAGTCCAGTCCTCCAGAGGCCTGACTGCCAACCTGTGACCTGGGCTGTCTCAGAGGCCTCCTGACGTGTGTGCGTGTCGCTGCCCTAGGAACCTCACTCCTTGAACCCAGGAGAGCAGTGACACAGCCCAGAAGAGACCCTGTGGGGAGGGATTCCAGCAGGCATGTGAAGACCCATGTGGTCTGGCGAGGGCTGCCAGCCAGCGCTGTCCAACCACGGTGGGACCCAGCGGGGTGCAGCCACGGCAGAGGGGCCTCGGAATAAGCAAGGGCCTCTGCAGTGGCTCTCTGGATTTCTCTCTTCCAACAACACTCCCCACAGTGCTGTGGCAAGGCAGCCTCCTTCCGCTGTCAGTTCCTACTTCTACTTCCGAGAGCCGCTGCGCCCCCGTGCTTCCTCTGGCTGTGCATAAACATCAATGAGGTGGCCCGCATCACACAGCACCCCATTTCAAGCCCGTCCTACGTTACCAGGGCTTTGTCCCCCACTAGCACAGCGTTTGGTGTGAAACATCTTTCTTGCCACAGCTTTCCAAATACTTCGCAGCCCCTCGCAGAGTCGTCCCTCCCCAAGGCCAGTCCGCACCGCGCTTGTGCTGGGCTCCCCTTACCTGACCAGCTCGTACGTCTCTCCCAAGAGCGGGTTGAAGGGTTTGCCAGTCCTCTCCCACTGGGAAGCCACGGCGGAGACAGCGAAGGCAGCTACAGACTGCAAACAACCCACAAGACCATCAGCACACGGCAGCCAGGAGAGCCGAGCAGGAGCGCTGCAGAGGAGCACAAGCACCTGGCCTCTGCGGCATTATTTACTCTGCTGACTTCTTGCTGCCCCAGTGACATGTTTTGAGGTTACAGAACTTCCTGGCAAATGCCATTTGTCACTCACCATTTCCTCAAAGCCACAAAAAGAAAGAACAATGCACTGTTCAACACCCCCACAATCAGGCCTCCTGGTGAACAATGTGGCAACATCAGTCTATCAGTCTGTCTGTCTGGCACACGAGCATTCCGGGGGCCCAGGTACACGCACTTTTGCCCACAGACATATGCGTGCAAACACAGGCATCAAACGTGTGCACACACTCACACATGCATGCATACAGGTGCAGGTACATGTGCACCCACAGTGTGACACCCACATGTGCCCACATATGCATGGGCACACGTGCACACACATAACACTCACAACAGTGACATGAGCGCTGCAGGGCTGGAACTCCTGGCAGGAGGGGTGCTCAGACCCCTGTGGAGAACACACTGCAGGACAAACACTGTGGGCCCTCGGGTCCCCAAGACCACGGGCTCAGACCTCCAAACGGGAGCGCATGCATTCAGCCATCCTGGTGCCAATCCGCACACTGCTCACCTGCATCCTTTCCAGGGGCTGCACCTGGCGGGAGGCTCTGTGGATGAGGTACACGTGCTCCATGTACTCTGTGATCCGCTGCAGGAAACTCAGGGGCTCATTGAAGGCGATCGGCATCGTGATCTTGGACAGCTCCTGCAAGGACCCAAAGCCCTGCCGTGGTGCCCAGAGCTCTCTGCTGCACGGTGGCCCTGAACCTCTGCCTCCTCCCAGGCCCACCAAGCTCCTCCTGATGCCCATCACACACTGCGACTGCAGAGGAACGCCTCAACTCCTGCCTCCCACTATCCTCCCTCACTCCGCTTCCGGATGAGTGGTACCGACGCCAAATCTCTCCCACCAGGCTGGATAACACAGGCCTATAATTCCAGCACTTGGGAGGCTGAGACAGGAGGATTGCAGGTTCAAGGCTAGCCTGAACTACATAGTGAGACTCTGTCTCCAGCAACAACAACAAAAAAAAGACAGAAAGAAACATTACTCCTAGCTGCATATGGTGGCACACACCTGTGGTCCCAGCTACTTAGGAGGCTGAGACAGAAAGACTGCTTTATCCAGGAGTTAGATACCAGCTTAGGCAACATGAGATCACACCTTAAATAAAAGGAAATAAATCACCCCAGCTTCTACAGCCTCCAGGATGACACAAAAATGCCTAAGCTGTCAGGCAAGGCCCTCCATCATGTCCCCCATGTGACTTTGCCCAAAGATCTTTCAGAGTTGGCAAAGATATCTCCGACACCTACTCCCAGGCACTGTGCTAGCAGGAGTGAGCTTGTGGCTTCTGCTTCCATGGGCTCATGCTTGTGGGGAGAGGACAAGAACACAAATGATGCGAATAAGAGACAGAAGAGCAGGATGGGCTCTGCAAGGAGTCAGGGTCTTAGGTGGCTGAAGCAGAGCAGGGCTTGGACGGTGGCCACAGGCTGGGGCTGCCTGGGGGTCCCAGGCCAAGGGTGAATGGCATGGAGCTAGCAAACCCCTCAGCTCCTCCTCAGTCCAGGGCTAGGATGACTCCTCTGCGGGCTGTCCTGAGGCTCCCTGTGGCCCCACCAGCCTGGCCTGCTGGCAGGGGCAGGCCTGGAGCCAGGGACAGAGAGGCTGTCTGCTCAGGAAACACCAGAAGTAGGAGTGCGGGGCTCAGGAGCGCTGGGCCTGGAGTTACAACTGAGTCACTCTGACCTGGGTGTGGTCAAGAACAAATAAGGGAGGGGGCCCACCCAGGCAGGCAGGAAGGACAAGCTCATAACTACATTCCCACTTCAGGAACCAGTGGAAGGAGAGCTTAAAGGAGACGCCAAGAGAGCAGGTAGAAAAAACCAAGGAAGCAAAATGGAGAAAACATTTGTGATTCATATCCCAGACAAAGCCTAAAGCCCCTTCTGTGTGCTACCTCCCTGTAATACCAGAGGAGTCGAATCTACAGCCCACAGTGCCAGGGGACAAGGGAGCTGGCAGGGAGAGGCTGCACTGCCCACCACCCCGGTGACAGGCTCGAGGCAAGTTCCTGCTGCTGGTAGCTAGGAGCACAAGAGGATGCAGCCCTGCAGGGGGGTTTGGCCACAGCTATCGAAATTCTGCACACATTTATGCTTTGGTCCAGCAATCCCATTTCTGGGAACCTATCCCAGAACTTCAGCACACATGTGTGCACTGTAGCCTGTGTGGATCAACAAAAGACCAGAAATGCCTCAAATGTACAACAGGGCCCCATTCCGCTCAATTCCAGGGCAACCATGTCCGAGCATGCCGCAGTTACAAACTGCAGTATTTTGTACGGCCTTTGGGAAGGGATTAGGGTCAGATAAGGGAATCTATGTACTGAATCTTGGTACCAGGATAGGAACAAGGAGAGTCGCTGGGCGTGGCAGTGCACACCTGTAATCCCAGCACTGGGGAAGCTAAAGCAGGAGGATCAGTGTGAGCTCGGGGTGGCCTGAACTACATAGTGACACCTTACCGCAAAACCAAAAAGAAAAAAGAACAAGCAGGCAGACACGCAGACGCAGACACACACACACACACCCCTGAGTGCATGGGCACACTCCCTGAGTCTCTCCCTGTGAGGCTCTGCACCACCTAGGGACTCTGCCTGCACAAGATGGCCCGTGGCCTTGCACCTCCAGAACTCCGAGTCAAAATAAACTTCTTTCTTCATTACACACCCAGTCTGTGGCATCATGTTATACGTACCTCATTTAACTTTTGACCCACATTTTAAAACAAAATTAAATTTACAAAATTAAATTGGTAAAAATGTATAAAATTTATAAAAATTGGGCCGGGGATTTAGCTCAGTGGTTTCGCCGGCTGCTGTGCAAGCGCAAGGACCCGAGTTCGATCCTCGGTGCAAAAAAATAAATAAATAAATTAAAATTTATAAGAATTAAATTTGTAAAACATGGATCTGCTCTGTATAATCACCCAAGGAAGAACAGGTGACTTTGCACCAACTCCGCAGTGGGGACGTGGGACCAAGCAATCGAGGTCAGCATCCCCAGCAAGAAGCCGCTCAGGTACCGCCCAGCACCTGGACGAGGAGGGCAGCCCCTGAGTTCTGCATGTTCCTGCCAGAAATGTAGAAGCTCAATCTAGTCATGAGAAGACAGCAGACAGGGCCAGGGATGTAGCTCAGTGGTCCCACCGCCTGCCTCACAAGCACAAGGTCCCGAGTTTGATCCCCAGTACCCCCCCAAAAAACAGCAGACAAACCTAAATTAAGGAACATCCTACCAAATAGTGGAGCAGTAGTCTTCAAGGTATCAAGTCACAAAAGATAATGAAAGACTGAGGAACCATGACAGAGCAGAGGGGACATAACAACCTCCTGGGGTAATGTGGCCAAGCATTGAATTTTTGGAGTCAGGAGTCAGGGTGGGGATGTTCTCCACTGTGATGCCTGCACTACAGCTCACTCGAGCGCCAGCGTCAGGGAAGGGCATTCTGTAACTTCCTATACATCTACCATTACTGCAAAGTAAAAAGTTGGGAGAAAATGAAGTTTCCTCTGACGGAGAAAAAAGGACAAATGGACAAGAGCAAAAAATAAGTGGTATCAGAACATGAGTGAACGACCCCAGGACGTGGTGACATGTCTGGAAGTTTCTGGCCTCCAGGATCTGGCCCACAAATGAGTGCGCCAGGGACTGCGAGCTCTGGAGAGATCATAGTCTATAGCTTCCGGACATTCCAGCTGCTCAACCCGATTTCCCGTCACAATCCTGGGCACCTGACAGAGGCTGCCCCCAGCCCAAATGTAGCTGGGGAGAAGGCCCCACCCTGTCCCCCACACAGAGCACAGGAGCCTTGTCGTGTCTCCTGGCCTGGCTTCACCTGGGATTGCTGCTCTGCTGCCTGTAAATGATTTAGCCTCCCCACCTTTCTTCTTATTTGTTCCTTTCCTGTTTTATTATCTTAATTTCTTGCTGTTTATAAATACACATAATGCATTTTCTTAAGCTACCAGCAGAGCAAAAAACTCACATGAATGTAAAATGTTTAAGTCTCAAGCTTCAAACAAGCCATCTGAACTCACCAGGCCAATGCACTTTTTCAGGATACTCCACACACTGAAGTCACTCCTGCTGAACATGGGAGCAGGCAGTGCCGTCCTGGGGACACACAAGACAACGGCCACTCATTACCCAAAGAAGGTGCAAATCCCATGCTGCTCCAGGGTGGGTTCTGACGCACCCACAGGCTGCCGCTGGAGCCTTACAGAAGGTTCCCACGTTGCAGCCACAGGACAGTGGACAGGGGGAGCCGCCACGGGTAGAATAAGAAAACCTCTTCAGGAACCAGCTACTGAGGCCCTTTAGACACATGCTTATTTTTCCCAAGGTGCATTCTTTCTCGAACAATCTTCCAACCACCCACGAGAGGACCCTGCTGCCCTGCTCACTGTGGAGCCCAGAGCCCTGGCTCCATCTGGGGAGGGAGGGGGCACCTGAGTGGAGATCTGGCTTTGGTGGGGTCCCACAGAGTGGGGGTGCGTGGGAGACTCCACGGAGTGGCCCCCTGGTCCCCACTGCTGCTCTCAGCTCCCCAAAGGCCACCCCAGCATTTTTCTGTGCAGCTCTTATTTCAGAGAAGCTACTGTGAAGTGAGGTGCTGTATCTGAACTAGGGGGCCTTGACTTGGGTGCTCTGACCCTCAAAACTTAATGCCTGAGGTGCCATGTGATGACGCTCTCAGGCATGGGACATCAGGGCAGCGGTTTCAAAACACTGCTCGTACCAGGGGCATATGAGGGAGGGCAGGTATGGCAGCTGAGGCGAAAGGGGAAAGATGGTGAATGAACTCTTGGCTCCATACAGCATGCCACGCAGACCTCCAGGGTGTTACGAGGGGACACAGCTCAGCAGAGGCCAGAGGGTTCCCAAAGGGCACCCCTATTTGTGCATGCAAGTGGTGCTCAGGACTGAACCCAGGGCCTTCCAGCTGAGCTACATCCCCGGCTGGTTTTTATTGCTTGAGACAAGACTATGTCCCTAAATTGTCCAGGCTGGACTTGAACTTGTAATCTTTCTGCCTTGGCCTTCTGCAGTGCCGGGAACATGGGTGTACACCCCACACCTATCGAGCATGACCACCGAAGGAAATTCCAAAGAACAGGAACAAAGACATGAAGGTAGGTGGGCTCCAGGCCAAGGGAGAAGGGTGGGCAAGAACCAGGGCAGGCAGGAGGCTTCTCAGGCCCCAAAAGAGGTCCCCGTGGCTGGAAGAGGAATGAACAGGGCTGAGCCCCAAGGACAAGAGGTAGGCAAGGACACTGGCCCTTGTCCTAAAAAGAGGACAACTTTATAGTTCAATGTCCAAGCCAGGACACTTCTGCAAGTAAAAGGAGTGCTGCCCAGAGTTCCTCAGGACCAGGGGCGCGGGGCAGCTTTTGGCAGAGAGAAGGCCATGGGGCCATCAGGTCTGACTGAGAAATGCCACTGCATGGCAGGAAGAAATCAGGAGGGGAGGGTGGCATGCAGCAGAGACGGGAGAAACCAAGGGTCCAGGTGTACTTAAAGAGGCCAAAGTATCAGAGCACGGCGACAGGGAGAGGGAGGCAGGGGCGCGGGGCTGACTGCTAGCAGCTGGTCACAGGACACCACGCACTATGATGAGATGGTAGAGGTCCAGAGAGAGTGCGCCACCTCAGACAGGGCGGCACAGGACCAGAGATGTTCCTGCAACTGCTGAGCACGTAAAGGCAGGAGAAAGGGAGAGTGAAGCACCCGGAGCACTGGGTGACCCATCACACAAGAAGTGGCTGACATTCAGAGGGGAGCTCAAGGGCGAGGCGGGACCCGGGAACCAAAGTTCTTTAGTAGGTGCCTAGCACGCCACCTCCCACCCACTGCCTCCATGGACAGCCAGTCCTGCCTGCACTCCTGCTGCTCTTGAGAATGACTGAAGACTGCTCACTGTCCTCCAAATCTCATGTGGGTGTGAACGTGCTGGTAGAGAGAAATGGAACAGGTTCCTGCTCAGCAAGCTAACCAAACCCTTCCTGTCCTCCCCGGGCCACTGGCCAGTGTATCGCAATAGGACAACAGAAGAAACAAGAGGATGAGTTCACTGATGGAAGAGCAGGTGGGTCTGCAAGAGTCAGCAGGAAGCGTGGCCCACAGCAAGCCTGTTCTGCACTCCAGGCCTGGACCAGGATGGAAGTACTGGACTTCACAGCTGGGGGAAGTCACCGATCCGAACTCTGCCCTCACTGACTTCCAAGGTGTGTGGAGGAGCCTTCCCGGAGCCCAGGGGTGGGGCGGGAGTGCTGTTCCAGCTGGACACTCAGGAGACCCGAGGCCGTGCCTGTGCAGCACCTTACGGGGTGATCTCAGGTGCAACCAGAAAACTCTACAACGGTGTGTTGAGGCATCGTACCTGTGCTTTTGAATCCCATTCTCCTGAGAGGGCCTCTCCCCACTTTTCCCACTCCTCGTACTTTTGCTGGTGTCCAAGTCAATCATTCCAGTGATCTTCTGATTCGCCTCTGAAAATTCCCCAGAAGAATTATCAGAATCAAAGCCTGCACAAAACAAGCAAAATGGTCATTTCCACTGGACTTGGAGAAGGTGAAAATCTACCAAGATTTTGACTGTGCAAGCAGACTACCTAAATCTCTACATAGTTTTTTTGTTTTTGTTTTTGTTTTTAGAGACAGGGTCTAACTATGTAGCTCAAGCTGACCTTTAACTCTTGGTGATCCTCCTGCCTCAGCCTCCCAAGTGCTGGGGGAATACAGGCATGCACCACCACACCCAGTCAACATAGTTTTTAAGTGACACGTTTGGAATAATTAATTCTGCTTCCCAAGCAATAAAGGTCCTGATCCACCTCAGTGCTGGGACACACAGTGAAGTACTGCACGCAAGAGCAACGTCTCCACAGCCCACTGTGGCTTCTGCAATGGTGGATCTCATCCAAACATTGCACCAGGCTGAAGCCCTCGCTGGGGAAAACCAAGATGGACTTATTTGAAAAGTTCAGAGGCATTCAGAGAAGTACCAGTTACATGAGTCCTCAGACAACAGGGAACGTTCCGCTCAACTCCTGGCTGAGGAGGAGCACGGAGGCCCACCTCTCTGTGACAGGTATGGACTCCAGGTGAGGGCAGGAGCCCCCCCAGGTTCAAATGCTGAGTGACTCCTCCACTAAGAAAGAATTCAACCAGGAAGGGTTGCAGGTGCAACAGCAAACACGTCTCCCAGGAGTACCTCCACAAAAACACAGCTAGTGGAGTTCAGCCACAAAACAATAAAAATAAACGCAATTTCGCCTGGGAAGATGGAAGGGAGCTCAGTGTCTGCATCCCCTGGGGTTTTAGACAGGAGTAAGGCAATAGCCCACGTGCAGCAACAATGCATCCAGAGGCACAGCAGCCACACTGGGAACGAAGAGCTCTCCTGCGGGCCCGAGGAAGAGAGGCTTCAACACAGGCCTTGGCCCCTCTGGGGAGCAGCTGCTGACAGCAGGAAAGACCCCGGCAGGGCAGTGGCTACAGAAGCCTTTCCAGACCACCACAAAGAGCAGCCCACAGTGGTGTTCCAGGTGGCGGGCTGGTGCTCCCACACCCAGGGACAAGGACACGGGCAGAATGAGCTCTACAGCCCTCTCCACCAGCCATGGTCACTTGGATCATTTCACCAAACACTCCACACTGACCCGAGGGACACAAGAGTTGGGGATGAGCATAAGCCCCTGATGGCCTTGAAGTGAGGAATCCAGGCCTCTGTGGTTCGAGTACCTCTGCCCTCCCAGCGACAAGCAGTGAAGACAGGCAGCTCCCAGCAAACGGCCAGCGCAGCCTCCTCTGCCCCCCACTGCACCCCACAGGCCCACACGTGCAGATCTCCACTTGATGTTTTCCCAAAGTAAGAGCATCTGAACTCTGAGGCAAGACCACTGTGAAGGCAAGTGAGCTGTTTTAGGGTGCACTGTGAGGGACACAAACAGAGACGAAGTCAGAAGACCAGTGATTTGGGGATTGATTTGTTTGGTGGGTTTTTTTGTTTTTTGTTTTGTTTTGTTTTTTTGGTACAGGGGATCAAACTCAGGACCTTGTGCTTGTGAGGCAGGGAACAGAACCACTGAGCTAAATAATCGGCCCTTGTTTTGTTTTGTTTTGTTTTGAGACAGGGTCTTGCTATGCAGTTTAGGCTGGCCTTGAACTCACTATGTAGCCCAGGCTGGCCTCAAACTCCTGGAGATCCTCCTTCCTCTGCCTCCTGAGTGGTGGGATTACAGGCCTAGGCCACCACGCCCAGCTGTTTGTTTTTTGAGACAGGGTCTCACTATGTAGTTCAGGCTGGCCTTGAACTACCAGAAATCCTCCTGCCTCAGCCTCTCAAGTGCTGGGATTACAGGCATACGTACCTGGCACACCTAGCAAGACCAATAATTCTGATCATTAAGTGACAGAAGACTATTGGCTATCTTACTCAAACAGCTCATTTCTTCCAGGATCCAAATAAATCCACCCCAGGAGGCTCTTCCAAAAACTTCGAACTTTGCTGCCCCTTCATGCTATCTCCCAAGATCCAAAGCCAAGGTCCCCAACTCTGACAAAGGACATCACTTTCTTCCTACAAGCTGGCATCGCCTTATGTAACGAGTCCCTCCTGGCTTTGTTTACTGAGCCAGGCCACATCTCCCATGCCAGGCCCGCTGAGTGCTGTGGACTCCCACACACACTCTGGCCTCTGGGTCACCCCTTTCAGCTCACCTGTGACGGCATCGAAGAACTCTTCCTCCCCATTCATCCTTCAGCAGCGGCTCTGTCGCTGCCCCAGTGCTTGGTCTTCTATTGGATCATTGTATCTGATCTGCTTCAGCAGCAGAAACAACTTTAAGCTATGATCTTTCTTTTCATAAAAATCCAGCTGACTGGAGATCTAAGGGGAGAAATAGTTTGGCATGCTTAGCTTCCAGAATAAACATGGTTTAAAAACCATTTTTTTTTTGGTACTTGGGTCCTTCCGCTTGCGAGACAGGCAGCAGAACCACTGAGCTAAATCCCCAACCCCTTAAAAACCATTTTTAAATACCTACTTACCAAAAAAAACCCCCCAAAAAACCATTTACCATTTTGAAATTGATCTTAATTACATCTAAGTGAAGAAATAAAATGTATTATCATAACAAATACAGGACTTCAACCGTATAAATGAGGGAAGTGTTCCTAATGTAAAGATCAACTGATGAGTAACAGATCAGTAAGTGACTATTATTTTAGGAGTCATATTTAAAAATCATTCTTTACAGTTGTGTAAGAAAACAGTAAGACAGCTGGGGATTTAGCTCAGTGGTTCCGTTGCTTGCCTTGCAAGCCCAAGGACCCGAGTTCGAGCCCCGGTACCCCCCCCAAAAAAAATTGAAGAAAACAGTAAGATATTAATTTGGGGAAAGAGATGTGAGCAGCTGAAAGGCAGACCAGTTTCGATGAGGTGTTTACCATCTAGGCCCCAACCCACTACGGCCAGTTCTGCTGCAAGTCACCAGAACCAGGTAGTTACAAGGAAATGGGAAATTATGACAAAGTATTTTTCACACTTATCCCAAACCAATTGTGTGTGTGTGGCCGAGCACTGAACCCAGGGCCTAGAGAGGGCTAGGTAAGCACACCTCTGGGCCTGAGCCAATTTTTCAATTCCAGAGAATTAAGACTGCTACATATGTTGATTGCATACAGACAAACTGAAGTAAACTTAAATTTTCCCAAATTCATGATGGCTCAACATGTTGAAGCGCATACACATTAACTTCTCCCACAAGAAGAGCAGCATCTTAGAAATGCACAGCACTGAAGCAAAATGTCAACCTTGTCCCAAGAGGTTTCACTTCTGAAAATAAGCAGAGCCCTCCTCTTAACTGTTGGTCCCTGCTCCACTCTGAGTGCCGACTCGAGGGGCAAGGGTGTCCCAAGTGGGCAGCACGCCAGGCTCTTGGACTGGCCACGAGGTGCTCGGGACATGGAAACCACCACACAGCTCATCCCAGGGGCTCTGTCCATGAATGTGAAGGTAAATCCGAGCTGCTCCTCTGCTCTGCTGTCTGAAGACTCTCACCATTCCCCTTTGCTTCCACCTTCCCAGCCAGTCACCGAACTGCCCACCTGGGACAGCTATGGGAGACCAGCACAGACAGCGTCACTCGCTAGCACCTAATCTGTGTCCTTCACAAAGCGCAGAAACAGCCTTGAGCTTCTAATGCCTCTCTGACACTGCACGCCCGTCCCCCATGGCTGGAAGCCTGCTTTTGCCCGCTTGCATCTGCTACAAGGGACCAGGGCTCCTGGGAGGGGAGACAGTAGGAGCCAGCCATCCGCCCTGGCCTGCAGGTGGTGAGGAGCTGTGCCGCACACTGAGGCGCCAGTCCAAACAGCAGGAACAGCAGCGTGAGGGTGCTGAGAGGTGGGCCTCAGGCAGGGCCCCGGCGAGAGGGAAAGGCTACCGAGGAGGGCTCTGCGCAAGGCCCTTGAGCTCTGCCTGCTCTGCCTGCCCTCCTCCCATCAAGGAATGAAGTAGGAAAGCCCTCGACTAACACTGTGAGCCAGTAAGTTTCTATGATAAACTGCCCAGTCTGTGGTAATGCTGTAACAGCACAAAACAGATGAGGAAATGAGGCCAAGCCAAAAGCTCCCACTGCAAAGATGAGACGCCTGGCACCAAGAAACTACAAGCAACTGAAACACAGCAAATACACTGAGGCCCGAGTTCATAAAGTTAAAAAAAAGAAGTGAGCTGGATGATGCCAGCACGCCAATGCATTACTTTGCATCCTGCCTTCGTGCTGGCCTTCAACACACTATCTGTCCCACTGTGTCACCAAGCAGCAGGCGAGGGGACTGCACTTTCTAGAAGTGAATCAACGAAGACAGAACCACCACATGCCATGCAACACGCACCTCTGGGAAAGACTCTGTCGCCCACCAGTGCTGCCTCACCTGAAAACCAAGCCCAAATCCCAGCCAGCCTCTGGCTTTCCCACCCACTGAAGGCAGTTCACAGAATAGGGTCTGGCTAAACATATCATGGGAGAGAGGGAGAGAGGGAGAGAGGGAGAGAGGGAG